AAATGAATATGAGATGAATAGTAAGTTGGTTAGAGAATATGAGATGATGAGGTTATATTTTAGAATTAATGATGCATCTGAGTGAGGGTGTAGTTAAATATAATTTTTTTGCTATATATCTTTGACTCGCTACTTAAAATTTAAATATTATCACTTAATGTGATACGGGGGTGAGTGCGAGATTTTTTCATTTAGTTTAAATTTAAGTTGAGCAATACCCGAAGAGTGTTGAATAAATGTGTTACTTACCTTTCGTAGAACTTGCGATTCAGGATTATTGTCTTGCACAATTTTACTTGACAAATGCTGAATATCAGACAGGAGCGTCATATTTAAATCATATTTTAACGATCAAAAACGGTATAACGATTAGTTTATCTCTTACTTTTAAAAGAACACAAATATAATATGAAAATGTACAATTTAATTGAACGAGATTGAGCGAGTGACTGACCGCCGTTGTGTGTGTCTTTATGGGTTTTTACGGATTATGGTGTGAGATGCTGCCTTTGACCTTTGATCGAATTTTAGATTGCGGCATTACTCTTTCATGTGTCGTGTGTCATTAACATTTTAGGATAATGTATTGATAATTTGTATTTATACAGCTGATGATAATAATTGTACTATTTAATTTATTTTCTTAAATCTAATTAATATAATCTAATAACATAATGCGATGTACCATAAATTGTATACCATAATAGACATATCGTTACCACTGTACTGCGATATGGCAAAGACACGTGACTCGGTATAAAGCACGCAAAAGACATGTCGTCTGAGGATGGACTTCTTCGAAACAAGTCCGATGGTACCCACAGGTTTAAATATTTTATTTTTTCAACATAATATTACTATGACATTTCGACCTATTGCTTGCTTCTTATTCGATCGCAATATGGTAATGTCCATCAGCCATGAATTATATAGTGATAGGTAAACCTATAAATGCATAATGATGTACAGGTAATAATAGCTTGCAGTTCACAATGATAACCAATAACCGTATTTTATACCGTCGACGAGCCACGTTTCCAGGTTAATCATTTAAATGACGTCTCGTAACCTGCATATAGTTTTAATCATAAAATTAATTAGGTAGGTACCAAATATTCATAGACATGTACTAGTGGTATAAAACAAATTTTTACCGAGATTATTTCCTTCTACAAAGTCATTTTTAATTTTAAAACATGAAAATACATTAAATTTATTTGTGCCCTGATAATTATTATTACCAATGTATAATCAAAGTATATTGAAACACATCATATTTATTGTTCAAATTAGTTAGGAACACATTTATCCCATACAATACTCAGGTCTATAATTCTCACAACGATTAGATCAGTAAAAAAAAAAAAAAAAATGCTATATTAAAAAATCATTATCATCTGAAAAAGTTTAATGTTTTTTTCCGAAATCATTAATACGATCATAATATTATTATGATAAGATATTATTTTTAGATTCCTTTTAATAGCATCGGACAGTTAATCGTTTTTCATCATTCATTAATCATATTATATACTGTAATTAATTAATTTTAGAAATATTTACTCATTAATTATATTTATGAGCAATTACAATTTTGGAAAAATCGTATTAATACCTAGTCAATTTGTTTTTTTTTTTTTTTTAAGTAAGTTTCGAGAAATACCAAATAAAAAGTAATTGTCTAGCATTCTATCGTCTTTTCGAGACATATTGATACCGATCAACATTGAAGTTATAATGACACCACACAGAAATAAAATAACATCAATGGTCAGGCTATAAATTCTCCCCCCTCCCCCTCACTAACACATAAAAAAAAATAAACAATTTATAATGATTATTTAGAGACGGCTTTTCAAACCAATGACGAAAACAGATTTTTTACGATTGTTTTCATCCATAAACCCAAAACAGGTCAAAACCTGCACCGGAATAAATTATTAAAAATCGACTGGAATTTTCTATGATTAAAAATAATACGCATTTACCAGCAGCTATTGAGTTTTAATCTCAAAACCTACTAAAATATCATAATATTAGGATCTAATGCTTATTTCTGTGCGAAATTGATGGACAAATTATAAATATATAGAAAATACTATATTTTAGTCGTCATATAAATTCAGTGTCACAATGCGAAGAGTCGTTTCGTGCTACTTGAGAGCACAAGTCACGATCGTGTCTAGTTCTGATCTAATAACACTTCAAGAAAAACAATATTTAAGATTTTTTATATATATACATACACCCTTCCACTCCGGCGGACAACTCAATTTTGCCATTAACTATGTACAGTTGATTTCAAAAACAACTATAGAAACCACTGACCTTTTTTTTTTTTTTATACTATACGGAGCAATAAAATGTTTAATCTGTTTATGGCTAAGATTTGCGGAGCGTTACAAGGAAGGGTCAAGTCGAGTTTATACTCATTTTCTATTACGGTTCTCGACGAATTATTTCAGTAGCACATAAAACTGAAAGACCAAAATGTAATTTTTTTTTCTTGCCCACGCGCTGTTACAAACAACATTTATACTGCGAAATAAAAAAAAAAGTAGAAATAATTAAATCCACAAAACAATTTCAACCACCAGGATGTTTGAATGTATGTATATATAAAGTATATTATATTATGTACATAGTGCATATTATAGTATTGATATAAAAAAAAAACAATTAGTCAACCAAGACCTAATATTATACTTTGCTTGTTTTATGATTAAAATGATATTTGTAGATATTTATTTTTAAAAAAAATATGCCTTCGTCGCAAATAGATTTATATAATAATAATATTACGCTTTAAATTTTAATGGTATATTTTTAATAATAATAATTTATTAAAAATATTTAAATCTATAGTTATATGTACCCACGCACTATTACAGAAATCTACAAATTATAAAAACGAAGGTTTAACGCATGATTTATTTTTTTAATGTGATATCTGTTGCTCGGATTTTATTCAAAACTTATTGATAATATAATTAATGTGACAATGCGATAATAATATGAACATAGTTGTCATAGAATTATAACAATAATTGCTATCCTAATACAATATCTTTCAAGTTTGATGACAGGTCACAAAAATTCGGTGTTAATATATTATAGGTTTGATGAGTGGATTCTCTAATAACGTCTATTGTTTTTACTGTTCGATGAGTAGATCACATTATCACATAAGATCTGTAAGGAACTATAGGTAGTAAAGTTCAAAATACAGGACTTAGGCACGAGGTCTGATGTCTTTAAATTTAAAAGTAATAATAAATCAACTAGCTTATACGAAAGTGCCTCTTTAAAGTTCGATTTGAGTACAAATCTCAATATATAAATAGGTTCTGAAAATAATATTATACTTTTGAAACTTTTTAACCGTCTCGAAATAGGTTTCCTAAAAGTAAAACGCATTGTTGTAAATCCGCTCAGAATCTAAAAATGAATTTCGGTAAGTAGGTATATACTTTATTATACTGATTGATTTTCACATAACTCTACAAATGGATAAAAATAGTAAATACCACTTTAGTAGAAATTATAAATTCAAACAAAGAAATTAATCAGTTGTTTTTTTTAATTTGAACTGATATCCTAAAATTACTATGGTAAAAAATAGAAAAATATTAAATTATGTTTTTGAAAAATTTTATAGCTTAGGCATAATTTGGTGGTGGAGTACGGTCTTAAGCCCGTATGCGCCTTTATGTGACACATATAAATTGACTATTCATGTGGACATAATATTATGGAAACCACTTAACTTTATAAAAATTCTTTATTTTCTTGCTGTAACAATTAAATTATAATAGTATAATGTGTGGAACTGCATTTTTTTTTCAATACTAAATTTTCATCGATTAAAAATAGAATATATTATATGTTTTTTTCACAACTACGGCATTTCGTTTGTAGTGTTGGCATACTTTGAATAATTCAGTTCTTAAGAATTTGGCATACTTTGTTTGAAAAACAATATATTATGATCCGGTGAATGTCTAAATAATATCAACCTGGAGCTTATCGAACGCTCGAAACGAAAACGACTGAAATTGCGTCGTGACGCACAACTAAAAACAGACTACAACAGTTGTGGCTGGTATATACCTAACCTAAAGTATATTGTTATGCCAACAATATGTAGGGTGTAACTCGAAGACCTGAAAAAAAATGATGCTATTTAAACGTTTGACCATATTTGTTAAAATTATTGGATAAGTAAATAATTTAAGAAATATACTCATGTTAGCAAATTCCCAAAAATAATGTTTTGAAAAAAGTTATTAAGTTTCAAATTTTATTAATTTAATCCAAAAAAAATATTGATAATTAAAAAAATTCTAAAATTAAACTACTTGACTTAGATAAATGTTTTTTTCCATCAAAATTATTCTTATAATCAGATTCACGAATTGGCTATTTTGAATTTATCCAAAAAAATTTCAGTCAAAATTAAAATTTTTCATTTTCAGTATTAAAAAATAAAAATATTTTTTTATATTATACATGTAACGCAAGTGAATAAAAATGTAAAAAAAAAAATTTTTAAATATCGATTACAACAAAAGTTATTTCATCCGTCAGGTCTTCCTGTTACACTCTGTATAGTAATGCGTAGGTGACATCGCAGTTTTTTGTTTTCTACGAAAATCGACTGGGAATGTGTCGTTCTTAAGGCGTAGGTATCTACAGAGTTTCGAGTAATAATAATAAAAAAATAACGATAATATTGTGTCAACTGCACGACGACTGCAGTAATATATCGTACACAACGTCGAGTGCGATTTTCTTTTCGCTAGGAAAACAATAGCAGTGAGTTTACACAAATGGCGCTCGGCAGCAGTTGTTCGCCTCGGGCCAGACGCGATTCAATTTAGGACCGATCGTCGTAGTCGCAAGTACCTGCAATATTCATATTATCATATCGCATACGACTCCTTGTCCGACTTCGGAGGTCGTGTCGGAATCGAGACCCTACCGGTCAATACGCAGTCGCCATGTCGTTCGCCGCGTACTGCGTCGCGTTCGCGTCTGCACTGGCGTTCGTGTCGGAAGCAACGGATCCGGAAACGTCTACAAGCGGATGTCCGGAGTGGTCGGTACCCGGATATCCGGACGAATCGCTTCAATACCTGAACGAGTTGCACGAAGCGACCAGATCTCACGACGACGACGTGATGTTCCTGCGGAAGATGATGGAGTTGGACTATCTGTGGTGGCCCATCCTCATGGAGCCGGTCAAGGTCAAATGGCCGACCGTGCTGTACTTCGACCAGTACAACGAACCGACGCCTACCGAGTACGTGGAAAACAGTGAGTTGCCATTCGACTTGATCTCCACCATGCTGACGGAGAACACGTTCACCGGCTCGGACGTCGTGTTCGTGATGAACGCGTTCAAGTCCGCTATGACGTGTTCGGTGCTGAAGCACGTCTCTATGCAGGCGCTCATGCTGCACGTTCTGCTTACCACTTACCTCAAGACGATACCGGAAGACGAGCGTGAGCTGTTCGAAGGGTGGCTGGCGACCATGGTCCAGGTTGCGATGGACAAGTTGACCGCGATGGACCACTCGCAGGACCCGGACCAGTCGATCACCCGAGCTCGCGTGCTCCTCGTGGAGATGCGACGTGCGCTGTGGGGCGGCACCACGGAAGAAACTCTCGTAAAAGTTCACGAAATCGGCATGGAGATGTACGCCGAGATCGAGAAGACGTGCGCCGTGCCCATCGGAGAAAAGGGCCATTACAGCGTGTTGGCAAAAGATTTGAACAGGGAGAAAAGAGTTGAAGAGCTCAAGGCCCACCGGACGCAGCTCACCGAGATCATGAGAGAAGCCTCCGAAGTGCACAACGTCGACATAATGCACAAGTACAAAGGCGACATAGTCATCGGAGAGGCCTTAACTGCAAATGACATCGCTGGCCTGACCGACGACACGATGAAAAGAGCCATAGCCGCAAATCACATCCAAATGAACTTCTTGTACTTGAACTTGCCCATACAGATCTTGGCCGAGTCCCAGTGGATCACCATATCCAAACCTAAGATACCTAGGCTGCCGGGAATACCTACTACCGTCCCACAGTATGTGTAGGACGGCGGGACAGTGTAATTTGATTTTTTATATTTTACGATAAATAATATAAGCTGTTTACTTTTGTTTATTAAGATGTTGTGTAGTTGAAATTACTTGTCGATTTAACTCGCGTATTTTTAATACATTATAATCAATGTAATATTATTCTCATAACGTTTACATGTTTTCAAATTTACCTAATATAATATTATGAATGGATTTTAATACTATTTTAATGATTAACTAACCAAATAAGTGTTAAGTTTTTGATTTAACTCCTTAAACTTCATTTTCAATTTAATTCTGTATCTTTTTAAATTATATCCAAAAACTCTGTTTTGTTTTTTCCTGCACTAGTGTTTTACCTATCTTGCAGTAATTTTATAATATGTTCACAATAAACTTATATATTTAATGTTTGCTGTTTAGGTAGTAATTATATTGGATTTATTAACTAAAATTAGAGATATATTTTTAACACCAAATATTATAATATAATATTTGAAATTAAAAACTAATTGTGTTTTCTTTTTTTATGTATCTGTTGTCACGTTTTGAAGCAGAAAATTTGCTTCGATATTCATTTTTGAAAGCGGGTTCTGATAGCAAATTTGGTCTAGTTCGTAATTTGTGGGGTTTAAAATAAAAACCTAACTATGGTCTAAGAGCCTTCCAAGTATGGTTACATGCTCTGAAGTAGTAATGTGCACACAGATCCTCCACTGCTGTCAGTTAAAAACGGGAAAAAATGTTTGTTGCCTAATCATTATAATTGTTACTCTCGAAATCCACATAATTGTCAGAACTCGGGTGGGTACACTCGAAACCTCTTAAACAGTCGATGTGGGTTCCCCGGTTTTAGCTTTTTTTTAAGTGTTATCATAAATTTCATATATATTTATGATTTCTTTGTAAGTGTAGGTACATAAATATAATTTTTGTTCTACACTTGATTTGTGCAGTTATTGTTTTTGCATTTCTCGTGCATTTTTCAAATAAGACTTTAAACGAGTAAAAATTCCAATTCAGAGTAAATCCCTACTATGTACCTAGGTACTAGTTTTGTAATAATATTATACCGTGTGTGCTGCAACAAGCAGGTATAATTTATAGACGCTGAGTGTTTCTGAAACATGCCACTATGACATAATATCATATTTACACTTCGGTGGTAAAATGGTTAAATCCTCCAGACATAACCTACCGCTAGTGCCTACCTATGTTATGCGTGCCCAAAATAATAATAAAATGAAATCCGTTTCGTTTTGTTGCAGTCGGAAGGACCGACCTTTGTCGGTCGGTGAGGTGCCCTCACGGTCAGAGGTGCATCGCGGACAAGGCTAGTGCGCAGCCGCGCTGTGTGTGCTATGCGGACACGGAATGCCACGGCGACGACAGCGGAGACGCCGCCGGAGGACCGGTCTGCGGCGACGACTATAGAGACTATCCAAGTCCGTGTCACGTCAGAAAGGCTTCCTGTGCGTCGGGCCGGAGCATAGGAATCAAATACAGAGGACTGTGCGGTACGTGGACCGAAGATACTAATAATAATATTACTACGATTATTATTATTTATTTTTCATCAAAACGTTTTCCGATCGAGTCAAAATTTACCGATGGGTATAACAGTAGGTAATAATGTTATTGGGAGGCGGAGTGGCCGAGCGGACTACGGCGCCAGTTCCGACGCGTATCGTCGCCGGTTCAAATCTCGACCAAGCCCTGATTAAGGGGGGGGGCAAAGGGGGGCACAGTCCCGGAGCCCATTGATTTTGGGGTCCCATATTTATCCCCAAAATATATTTTTTTAACGCGTCCAGTACAGTTTTTTAAAACAAAAAAGTATTGTGGGTAGGTAAATATATAGTAGGTAAATTTATTATTATTAATAATTATTAAATTTAATTGTTCTGAATCTTATATCACGAAAAATAACTATAAATTATGAACTATGTTTGGCACCATTTTTTTTTTCTTTTTTTGAGCATTTTAGATTACCGGTTTGACTATAAAAGTATATAAAAGGTGGTTATAAAGGAAAAAAAATATTTAGCTCTTGTAAATTAGGTATTTCAGTTAAAAGTATTGATGCATATTATAGATTACATATTATAGAGAACCTAGCGAGAATCAAAATTGATCATTTGACTGTCGGTTAATAATTGAGAGGGGGCCCACTAAGTGTATGGTGTCTCGTGGCCCAATTGATCTTTAATCCGGGCTTAATCTCGACCACTGGCGGCTCCTCTCTCTGGGTAGGAAACTGTGTAAAGCAGGGGTCTCCAACCTCCAGCCCGAGGGTCAAATCAAGCTAGCCAAAGGTTTTTCACTGGCCCGCCAAGCTATTTAATGTATTGAAAATAATATATTTATTTTATTATTTTCATTTAGTTTTTGTTGTTTTTAATTTATTGAATTAATTAATTATTTTTTTCTTTTGGTGTTATTTGTAACAGCTTATAATAGTAATTTATACCCATATACTATGTACTAACACAAACTTATAATAGAAAAACTCGTTATAAAATAAAGAAGTATATAAAGAAACATTTATTTTTCTAAATAAATCTGATCTATTCTTCAATTTCTTAACCGGTCTATCCCTCTAAAAACGTTGGCCCGCGATGCCAAAGAGTATCTCAATTTTTGCCCGCCGTAAAAAAAGGTTAGAGACCTCTGGTCTAGAGAGAGAGGCCGCAATCCCCGGATCGGGCATGGCAGAATCCTATACGGGTGCCCAATTTGAAATTCTGCCAAAACTAAACACACGTATTAACCAAACCTACAGCTTCCTCCCCCTTCACAGTCGAAAAACCACCCAATGGTCTAAGTTGCCGAGGGTTAATCAATTAAAAAAAAAAAATAAATAAATAATAATGTTATTGTAAAACACAAAAGTGTATGCCGCGGAGTACGTTATAATATTTAGTTCATTACTAAAATAAAGGAATAACAATAATTAATGGTATCGGCAGTGTACAAAAGAGCACAAAGGCATTCGCTTTTAACGGTCTCGACACTGCACTAGTACAACGTCGACGGGTGCAGGACACGCAAAATGGAGGGTAGCATAATATATATTATAATAGTATTGTAGTTAGGTGTTGAACTACAATGTCGGTGGTCCATGCCGAGACGAGCTAAAAACGCATATGATGATATTGTATTATAATTTATAGGTACATACACCTAGTATACAGAGTGGTCCAACTCATAACATTTCATCTGTCCAAAGCTCCCCAAACGACTTTAGACTTGAACAATCCATACATTTTTTGCCGTATATATACAATGTGTTCCGGGGTGAAGTGACCAGCCGACGTCATATGAATAAGTATACCAAAAATGATGGAGCAATACCCTTAAATATTGGGTCAAACTTTTTATTTTTCAAGTTATGGGCAATTAACTTTTTTTTATCAAAACCATATACATATCACGCATTTGTTTATGTATCTTCAAAACTTTTCAACATTTTGAAGTATTTTTTTTTATTTTATAGCTATTTAATATTGTCCTATCAACCAACATACGCAATTGAACCAGAAATGTGTTAATTATTTTTATTAAAATAAAAAAGTAGAAAAAGTTGGCAAAAATTAGCATTTTTTAAAGGAAATCGTGTACCTATTATTCCAAATAATTTATTACTTAGTATGGGTTTTTATTTTTTGTATTATTCTACTGAATTCTAGTGAACAATATACTTTCATATGACGTCTGCAGCCTGTCACTTCACCCAGGAACACATTGTATAGTTTACAAATCGTAATAATAATTGTGTAACTAATATTCAAAGATAATATTATTTTAAATACCAAAATGTTGGGTATTGTCGTGTGTTTTTTTTTTTTTTTTTGGTTGCTCTTTGTGATTTTCACGTCATCGCCGTCTACATCATAACATTGAATTATCTTCTACAGATCCGTGTGACTATATATCGTGCGAAGAACCCGAAATATGTCGTTTGGACTACGAGAGACGTGCCAGGTGCTTGTGCTCGGAATTTTGCGGCGAAGACTTCATTCCGGTATGCGGGTCCGACGGCCGGACTTATACGAACGAGTGCTTTCTACGGCGGCAGGCGTGTCGGATGATGCCAGGTCTGAGGATCGTCTTCCACGGCCAATGCGACCAGGGTGAATAAATCGCTAAATAGTCGACCATGTTGCCAGCTGCTGTAGTTGAAATAATATTGCACACGATATATAATATTATTATAGTGATCGTACATACCATTGGTTTTCGAACTGTGCGTCGAGGCTCCCAGGGGCGTCGTCGGTTATTATCTACAAGTGACCCGCTTTCGGAAACTAAAAATAAAATTTTAATAATTTATAGTTTTTGTTAGGTATCTTTTTTCTCTGCCGTGTAAGTCTGCGCGTGCGCGAGTGTGTTCGCGATAGATCGGCAGATGGACAGATTTCGTCATTGAATAACGTCAGATTGAATAATGTAAATTTGTTTGTTTTAAATTTGCGTATGGGAGCCTTATGTTTGATTTCAAAATCAAAAGGAGCCGAGGACCCAAAAAGGTCGAAAACCACTGGTATATACCATAGTCCATAATGTCATACAACGCATTCCGGTCCCGAGCGTTTGGTTTTGTGTAGGTTGCATGCAAGTATAGGAGAAGGTACGAAAATTGTATTTATATAATTAGGTACCTACGTCATATTCGCATTTTTACTTTTAAGGAAGCCCAGATTTTTCTCATGATTCGAATAAAGAGTTTAATATGTTTAAAATTTAAAAAAAAACTTTTCATTATATGTCCGCACTTTCATTGTCCGTTCGCACTACCAAAAAACTGTATACAATAAAACGCATTATGGAGAATGCAGTTATATCACGAAATGTGTGACAATCGATATAATACTTTGACCACAGCGTATTAATATTATGCTTAATACACTGCTTATATATAGTATAATACCGATTATGGATTATATGCAGCTCAAAACCCTTGACTCGGACCGCTCCCCCCCCCCAATAATGTCTGTCATCGATATAGGAGGGTATTAGAAAAGCACTTCTCCCCATACCTGCAGAGGCACGTAAAATGGGATTTTTTTTCAAATTTTTTTTTTCGCGTAAATGTGGACAAAAATAACACGATGGGGGGACGGTCCGGCCGAGTGCACTACGGCGTCGGTTCCGACGCGAACCGTCGCCAGTTCGAATCTCAACCAAGGGCTGTATCCTCTCTCTGGGCAGGCAACTGTCTAGAAAGAGAGGCCGCCATCTCCCAACCGGCCATGGCAGAAACCTATACGGGTGCCCAATTTGAAATTGTGCCAAAAACAAAACACACGTGCTTACCAAAAACCTACAGTACTCTCACAGCGTCACCCACAAAATGGCCATAGTTGCCGGGCTCTAGACCAATAAAATTAAAATTAAAAATAACATACGATGCGCTCCGTTCCAGGCGTAAACCCGTGTCTGAACTTCACGTGCTGGGAAGGATCGCACTGCGCCATCGATCGTCTGGGCATCGCCGTGTGCCGTTGTCCGGAGCCCACCCTTTGCGAAACGTCGGTGCGACCTGTTTGCGGCACAGACGGTTATACTTACGAGTCCAAATGCATGTTGGAACGGATCGGGTGCAACAGGAGGTCCGGCGTCAAGTTGGCATACCACGGACATTGCGGTAAGAATACGAGCTGGAGGTCGTTTCTGTAAAAAATATATTCAGGTCGACGTTTTCAAACACCGGGAGAAATATTTTAATCACTTGTAACAACAAATTTTAGATGTAAAAAAAATTGATTATTTTATTATTATCGTTGTCGACATTTATTATAGACATTTTATTGTATTTAAGAACAATACATTATTATTAATTATTATTCATTCTGAAACAGAATAATATGCTTGCGAACACTTAGACGCGTAAATTATTTAATATTGGCACAATATATTTACAAACATTTAATGTTTAAGCAAAAGGAGTTAAATGGCAAGGATACCTTACAAATCTTTGTCGTACACTATTGATTACTCCGCTCGTATAAACTTTCAAAGCTTATTAACAACAAAAAAAGAAGATACTTATCGATATTTTATATTTATTATTTACACATCAAAATCATGTTTGAGAACGTTTTATGTCAAAGACTGTAGATCAGAGGTATTCAATCTGTGCGAAGCGGCTCCCAGGGGCATCGCGAGAGTTGTTGAACACCGGAAACCAAAATATTAATATAGGTCAAGGTTAATATAAATATTATTTATAATCATCAAAGCGATTGTGGAAACGATAATGAAACACATCACCCGACTATTTTAAGTTTTATTTCTAGTACTAAAGTCACTGTTATTATCACCCATATTATATTTGGTATAATATTGTATCTTTATATTGTTTCAATTTTCTCTTAATAATTTGGAAGCCGTAAAATTATTGTGAACAATGTGAACACACAAAGGAGCCGAGGGATGGAAAAGTTTGAATACCTCTGCTGTAGAGTATAATATAGAACATTAAATTGTTATGGAAAATATGTGGCCACTTCAAAAAAATTAAGTAAAATAATCAATAATAAGTTTTTTCAAAATCGAAAACACTGACAAAGGAAGTCAAATTCTATAGGTAGTAGGTACCTAGGTATAGCTGGTAAGGGTACCTCGGTAAAATGTTCGCTCTTCATTACTCTAATAATAAGTTATAACTAATAACTTATAACTATTAAAATGTATACTAAAATGTTGATTGTAATTGAGGTTCACTAGCACCAGATGAAAATTTATTTATAATCGAACATGTTTTGTCAAAAGCCAATGATAGTTTACCGAATTTTAGTGTTCGATACAGTGACATTCTTTAACTTATTTCAATATTATTTTTCTTTTACTTTGACATTGAAGATAGAACTACATAGCTGGTTACATATACGCGAAGTTGGTATCATACTTTTGTTTTGTATTTAAAACGTTGGTTGGTTTGTTAATTTACCATTGTTTATTATGTCAGTGAAGTTAATTTTTTCATTGTTATAGTAATATAATAGTGGTTTTGATATTATGTTTCTATATCATAAAGTTATGAAAGAGAAAACCTATTTATATAGGGTGCCTAATAATATATTATTAATTTACGTGACCTAGATTTCTAATAATAAACTCGTCAGAACATTAATTTTTTAATAGCGTATGACGTTCTAAAAAAAGGTCCTTAAAAATTAAATGCCTCTAAAAAGTCAACTATAAGTAAATATTTAGCCAATTATTGAAAAAATTCAAACTCGAAATACAAAAAAGTATAAAATTCTATGTGTAAAATATGATCTATTGACTACCTATGAAACAAATAAATATTATTTTAAATTTTCGATTTGGGCGGTAATCGTATCTATCACATGAAGAATATTTTGTAAAATTAACATACATTTTTTTTTATTACCTACCTAATTGTATATTACACCAAACTCAAAAATACATTCGTCATAAAAATAAACAATATAATTAAAATATATTAACATTCAAAATTCTTTCATACATAAATCGAATATTATAGTTGTAAGCTATAAAGTGTCTTGAAATGTTAAATACATCCCAAGTCTTAATACAATAAATTAAGTACTTATTATTTGTGTAGTTTTTTAATACTGACTTAGTTACATCGTACCGTATGACAACATAAAAAATATCATACTCGGTTGTGCGCGAGTGAAGTCGATACATTTTAAGGATTCTCTCTCTCTCTCTCCCTCATTCACACGCACACTATTTCAATTTCCATCTCATACGAACCTATATGTTTCTTACGTTTATTTGCGCAGGGGAATCGAATCCGTGCAACGGGTACATGTGCAACTTCGCGGCCACTTGTAAAGTGAGAGACGGAAAAGCAGCCTGCGAATGTCCTTTTTGTTCCGAACACCACGAGCCCGTGTGCGGCGACGACGGTAACACGTATAGTAACGAGTGCAAGTTGAAGTACCACAGCTGTCAGCAGAAGAAAATAATCGTAATGGCCCACCGCGGAACGTGTAGTAAGATGATATTATTATTAAACCAATATACACATGTCATATAATAGTCGCACACTAATTTATCGCACCCCTCCCCCCCCCCTCGACGGCATTTGATTTTATGTAACAGAGCGTGTTATGCTTTTCAGACGATTGTACAAAAATGAATTGTCAGTTTCACTCGGTTTGCGAAAGCGATGGAATGGAGGCCAAGTGCGTCTGCCCGACGTTCAAATGTGCAAACGTAAGGATTCCAGCACACAATATTGCCCGTCTTAATATTTTATAAATATGTATTTATTTATCATCGAGTATAGTGATGATTTTACTTTATATATTGTACACATTACTTGATGCTAAATATTATTAAGTATCTACTACATACCAACGAAAATACTGTCACTAACCCGAGAACGAGATTAGCTGGGTTATTGTTCATTACAAATATTATTTTAATATTTACCCACGCGATAAATGTGTGGGGTAGTACCGTGTATTATATCTGTTTCCAATATCCTGTTTGCTTTGTCTTATTTCCAGTCAACAACAGATTTTACAAACACAATGTTCAGTTCGATCGCTAAAAAAACAAAAAAAATAACAATTATCGTGTAAATAGGAAATCGAGTAAGGGACACGTTTAAATCAACTGCGATTAGATATTTTAATCTAATCTGTGGCGATACACTCTTTTCTATTAGGGTCTGATTTCGTCCCTATCACATTCGTTCAATAAATATATTTTACAAATAAACATGCGAACATTTCATTTTTCAATCCATTAGCCAGTGCCAGTTTTGATTTTGTCATCGCTTCGAAACTCATCCAGTGTATAACTTTTCCCGAACTTACTAAAATTTTGAGTTCCTATCTCGTTCCATAAATTATATTATTGGGTCTTTAGACTAATCAAAATCTTTTTTTAAAACTATTTCTCTAAATGTAGATATTTTATCTATATGTAGCTTTATTTTTAATTTGTACTCTTTCAACAGTTAATGTTTACTTATAAGTACCTAGGGATCAAAATTTCTGGAAAAAAAAAGAGAAGGTGAAAAAAAATGGAAAAATTTGGTTTCATTTAAAATTTCAGGAAAAACACCAGTTTTCCAATTGAAAAATTGTATGAAAAAATGGTTTTTTGTCTTATAAAATATTATCGTATCCCGCCAATGATGTTTTATTGTTACGTATTTTTCTAATAATGAATATTGTCCTTACTCATTTTTCAATTGTGCGTCGTTTACATTTATCAACAACTTACAAGTAACATTAACTATATAACATTTAAAAATACATGTTATTTATTTTCAGCAGAATACACTCTCCCACATAATAAATATTGAAATTTCCGTATTAATATTTTAAAAAATTAAATTTTAGGGTTTTCTTATGTATTTTTTTTAAATGGTTTTTTTTTACTTAAATTATTTAAATTTTATAAATAAATACATTCCAAAAATTCTATTTTTTTTTAATTTTCTGAAAACGTATTATTTTAATATTCTCAAATTTTCCCACATTTTCCAAGGCTCTGTGAAAAAAACGTTTTTTTTCTTAAATTTTCCCTAATTTTTCCGGAAATTTCGATCCTTACTTATATGTGCATATTTTTTATTTTTTTTTTAAACATGGATCGTTATTACTTTATTTTATCATCTGAATCAGTATTCCGAGCCTGTTTATATATTATTTCAAAACGTAATAAAGTTGATTACTATTGAATTCACGAAAATAATTATTGCGGTAAAGTTCAAAACTTTCATCACATTTATTTTCAGTTAAGTAAATCCTTTTATCACGAAGGATTATAAAGTTTTAAACACGCATGCCCAGGTGCTCTATTGGTCCGACCAATAGAATTAATAGTTCCAAAAACGTATTCGTTATTGCTTTCTATATATATAATACTGTCCATTTGCAACATAATATAATATTATAGAAGTTACCGACCTAAAACCAATAATAAATTATTATTATTTCAATATTATGCCTCACTAGGTCCATAATAAACTTTGTCGCCGAATGAAAAGTATTTATTTTTCATACATCGTAACATTTTATCAAATATTATAATATATTATCGTAGAATGGATAATGAAATTTATTTGGAAATAAATTAATCACATCGAATGCGACCTCTGCATGTCGCACGTGTGTGAGGATAAGAAACATAGCTAGTTGATAAATGGTGAGATTGTGGTAATAATTGATTGTTAAGAGTGGGGTGACTATAGACCTGCAGCGTATACCTACTAACGAAAAGCATTAAACCGGTATAATGTAAAGTAACAATGGTTTTGGAATTTATTTTCTAAAAACCATTGGAAACCTCCGCCAGTTAATTAGGACGAACTCTAATTTATGTACCCAGGCAAGCGGTAAAGTTTGCGGTACCGACGGCATTACGTACACAGACCTTTGTCATCTACAAAACGCCAGTTGTGCAACAAGGAAGAAAATATTCACCGCGTACGCGGGCGAATGCGGTAAGGGTGATTAATTCGGTGGTTTTAGACTGTTTACCCCAAAATCACACGCATTAAATGATTTTAGGGTCGTGTCACGATCAGAAATGCAACTGTCCCGAAACATGCGTGGACACGAAATCAAAAGAACCCGTCTGCGGGTCCGACCTGATCACCTACAACAGCGAATGCGAACTCCTCCAAAGGTCGTGCGTAAAAAACGGCACTCACAATTTGACGATTCTGTTCTACGGTGACTGCAAGGAATCTTCGTCCATAGGTAATGTCCCCCATCCCATGTGTCCAGTGGCGCAATTACGAGGGGGGGGGGTTGATTTGGTGTCTTATATCCCCCATGACTTTTTTTTTATACTGCCGAACCATATTTGTGTGCCTACTTATTTAATTATATAAATATTATTATTTATAGGTACTATTGTACCTACCTAATGATATAGTGATATAGCTGGTAGTATATTTTATAGAAACAACGAATAAAAACCCGAATCCCCTGTGGCAGCGTTTCTGAACCTGTGGTACACGTACCACTAATGGTACGCAGAAAGCTCGTGGGTTGTACGCTAAGAAAATCTCACTTTACCAAAAAATGGAATGGACCATTATTCAAAATATATATTATTTGATTTTTTCGATATTAAATAATAATATAAATAACAATTGTACATATTTATTTTTATTTTTATGAAATAAATTCTTATACTATCATAATTTTGTAGTTCCTGATAAAATTAATTTCGAAACCCGTAAATAACTTATTTAATATTAATTTTTGATAAGCTAAAAAAAAAATGATTTCCCCAAGTGGTTCATGAAAATTTATTGTCAAACTGTGGAGGTGGTACGTGGATGTAAAAAGGTTAAGAACCACTGCCCTATGCTAACTAAGATAATTTTACCACAGATTATATAAAAACTGTTTTAAATGATTTGTGATATTACTTGGTAATAAACACACTAATCACTAATGTAATACAATTGCTCAAAAATATTGAAAAAATGCAGTTTAGCTCAAATTTTGGGAAATTTTTTCGGGTATCTATATAGATATATTTCAACGAGTTATGCACTGCAATTAAAATTTATCGGCCAGACTTGGTTCCAATGTTATAACATTTTTAAGTTCGGGATTTTGCGTATATGATATGCATACGCAGATTATTCCACGAATCAATGTAAAAAATTCAGTTTAGCTTCAAGTGATATTTAGAAATTTTTTTCTGAAATCTGTATAATATTTCAACGAGTTAAGTACAATGGTGCAATCAGAATTGGTCAGTCGGACTTAATTCCGAGGTTATAACCATTTGAAGTTTGTGATTTCGAATATTTTACGTCTATGCAGATTATTCCATGGAACTACTCATAAAAGTACATTTTAAAACTTTATTGAATAGTATGTATTTGTTTGTTTTGTAATATACAATGTCATGCATTTATACATGTACCTACTTACATATAGATTACAGGTAAAAATGGTTGGACTGAGAGGTTTTTAAGATATAAACTGAATTTTTTTTTGGTGTCTGGCGGATGGGCAGAGGGGTAAATGTTTTTCAATCCCCTCCCCCCCCAAACATGACCAAATCACGCCACAACACGTGTCCTCCGATACGAAACGTTTTGTGAAACATATATTATAATAATACGCTTTCAGGTAAAATTTTAAAACCTCACGGTTCGGTGGAAAACAGCGTTTACAGCAACAACAACGACGTGTGCAAAGACATTAAATGTGACTACGACGCCACGTGCGAGGTCGGACCCGACGGATTTCCTCGGTGTTCGTGTATATTCAACTGTTCAGCTACCGACTCCTCGCCCGTTTGCGCGTCGGACGTTCGCACTTACAACTCATTGTGTCTGATGAAAATGGAAGGGTGTCAGAGGCAACAAGAACTCCGGCTGAGGCCCATGGAGTTGTGCCAAGGCGCGTATCGTCCTCAAGTCTATAATATAACTGCGGCCAGTGCCGGATCTACAAATTTAAGTGACCCGGGTCACAACACAATATTAGCGCCCCTAAAAGTTATTAATAAAAAATGCGTGTGCCAATTAAAATGTCATACAAAATGATGAAAATTTGAAATTTTGCGCCCCTCTGTGATCGGCGCCCCCCTAGATCCGGTATACTGAATGCGGCATTATCATAATATACGTATCTCGTGTACAGCTGTTTAGACGTCGTTATCGTTTTATAGGCATGGAGGTCAAACCTTGCAACGGTAAGAAACCCTTGATGAACCATCTGAACGGCAGAGAATTAGACTGCGGCCACGGTCCCGACAGGCAAGACTGTCCGTCGACCAGTTATTGTCATCAAACATCTAGGTTCGCCAAGTGCTGTAATAAATCTGATCGAGGTAATACGTCAAAATTATATTTTCAATATCGTATATTATATAGTTTTTAATATAATTTAAATATGTGCAAATACTATAGAATGGGGTAACTTTGATTTCGTGCGGCTTCTTTGATACACTTACATTTTTATTCACCTGCAGAGAATCATGACTATAGAGTATTAGGATGTTGATGACCTAAAAAAAACACAAAAATTCCCTAAAAAAAATGCAAAAAAATAACTTAAAAAATTGTCTAAAAATCTAATTAAATAAGTGAAAAAAGTGACTTTATAAATAATAATTTTTATTAGAGATATGAGTGTGATAATATAAGGTTAGGTTAGGCTTGTTTTTTCAGTGTATAACACTCAAACAGTGAATCTCATCAGTACCCCGTACATTTAATCACAACAAAAACCCCACAATAATAATATTAAAATCATTTTTTTGAATATTTTCTTTAAAACTTAAAATTTGAGAAAAATGCCCCCACACAGTATACAAAAATGACCTAAACTATGAAAAAATAAAAATATGACGTTAAAAAACAAAAAATGCTCTTATATCTAAAAATCCATTAAAATGCAAAAAAATGAAAAATAAAATTAGAATATTTTGAATCAAGGGAGCATGAAACATTTTTTTAACTAAGATAGCATTTAATAGAATCAAAAGAAAAAAATGGAAAATTCATCAACATCCTAACTCTAATCATGACAATTTAATTATTTTTTTCTTAAATCGGAGTTACGATTTGATACCTTATTAAGAAACCTTGTGTAACTTTGAAAGCATTTTAAAAATATTAAAATCTCAGAAAAAAAATTAAAACGTTAAAGGAATCGCATAATAACTAACTGTGACCAAAATTTAAGTTCGAGACTCTTAATTCTACACAAGATATCCGTAAAATAAAAAGTAACATTGTAATAAAAGAGCAAAAAATAATTATCAAAGTAACCATATATTATTATACGGTACACATAAATATGTATTATATGTGAACTGTTTAATGATCGGTTTAGACACAACAATCGTTTCGGACAGTTGTCAAAATTCGTCTTATGGCTGCTGCCCTGATAAAAAGACACCGGCAAAAGGACCGAAAAATCTTGATTGTCCTTTGCAGTGCAATTGCAATAAATTGGGTAAAAATATTGCAGTTTATTAGTTAAAATTAAGATAGTTCTTGCTTACTTATAGTAATATATTAAGCCGAATAATTGCAACGTTTATTTTAGGGTCGATATCAGAGGAGTGTGTCGACAAGAAATGCCTGTGCAAATCGGGAGTTGGTGGAGAAAAGTGTGATCGGTGTGAACCCGGGTATTGGGGATTACCGAAAATATCATCAAATCATCAAGGGTGCATGCGTAAGTAGTTTTTAAATTGGATAATGGAATATTTAACGAATACGAGCTATTGCAGCTTGTGGTTGTTCTCTGCTGGGTTCGGTCCGAGACGACTGTGAACAAATGACCGGACGTTGCGTTTGTAAGCCAGGAGCCGTAGGACCAAAGTGCAATAAATGTGAAGACAGTTCTAAAATTTTAAACCCTGCAGGATGTGTTTCGCGTATGTATTACCGTTGTTAATTTTAATCAACTAATATAAAACTATAATTTTAAGACGCGCGCGAAAAACAAGATTATTTCGAATAAAAAATGGTACCTGCATACAATATACGAACAAATGGGTGCAATTTTTATTTTATCGTGGCGCATATGGTTCTAACGTACTATTATATAAATCTATATAATATATTTTTAATGTCACAATAACGTCGTACGCTGCAGTACCTATTGTATAATACGAAACGCGCATTATTTTATATATCAATAAAACGATATATTGTTCGGTTACGCGTATTGTTATTCTATTGACAAATACACATCTGAATTTCTATAGCTGACATGGCGATGCAAAATTTAACGTCTTGTAGTCAACTCGTCTGCTATTATGGAGGCGTGTGCGAGATGAATAACGACAAACCGTCTTGTGTATGTCGGGCGACATGTGCCGAGGACGCGATACGTACGACTGTAAGTACTTATAAATTATTACGACGAATGATGCATTATAGGTACCTGGTACAATAGAATATAATATGAATTCATCTAAATCCAATATTTAGTTGGTGTGCGGTAGTGACGGGCAAACGTATAGCTCCGAGTGTCAACTAAAACTGTACGCGTGTCGCTATCAAAAAGACATAGTCGTCAAGTCACACACGTCGTGTAAAGGTTAGTACGTAACCGCTATAACCAGACGCATATGGGTGGGTATACCAACTATACCTATATAACTACCTATACCTACTATGAAAAATTTGACCGTTTCCTCGCTAATAAATATTGTTTTGTCGGTTACGCAGACGAAAATCTCATACTGCCAGGCACGGAGGGGCCGAAATTCACCGAGCCCCAGGACATAGTCATGTCGAAGTCGACGCGACACCTGTTGTTTTCTGAACTGCCCAATTTCACTTACAACACTTCCGGCGGCTACGAAGTGGACATCATACCCGAGGTCCAAGACCTGACCGGGAGGACGACGTCGGAATCCACAGATCGGGAAATGTCACTGTGTGACCCGAATCCGTGCCAGAACAGCGGGGAATGCGAGCGACTGGATTCTGGCGGTTTCCAGTGCCATTGCCCCGCCACGCACAGTGGCACCGTTTGTTCCAACCCGGAGGAAGTCAGAGGTAAACCACAAAACGTTTCGACGATATCATATTATGATGCTCCACAACGCATACCTATTATAATATACGTTTTCAGAACACAAATCGGCTGCGTTCAACGGACATTCGTACGTTCAGTTGAAAAAATTGAAAGCATACCACAGGTTCAGTCTGGAAATGGAATTCAAAAGCTTTTCGGACGACGGGATTCTGCTGTACGACCAACAGCAACCGGATGGGTCTGGAGATTTCATATCGATAGCAATAGTCAATAAGTAATTATTACACTTCTCTGTGACTATAATAATTCTACGACACGACAGGGAAGGTTAAGATATTTTTTTTTAAAATAAAAAACGTGTTCAGGTTTGTCGAATTTAAATACAATCTGGGCAACGGGGCCGTAGTCCTGACTTCTGTACACCCGATAACGATCGGCACTCGGCACAAGATCGTGGCTAAGCGATATCAAAAAGACGGTCTGCTGCAGTTCGAAGACCACGAGCCGGTCCGATCAGTGTCCATGGGGTCTCTCAGGTCGCTGGACCTAAACGACAACGCATACATCGGATACGTCCCGATCGTGCATCAAAAGTATAATATAAAATTTATTATTTTAGTGCAAATTATACGTAGAAGCGAATAGTCGGACGCCGAAAGACCACCACAAAAATAATCCAATATTAATTTATTTCCCGCAGGATATTCGAAAACATCGGTGTGAAATCGGGATTGATCGGGTGCGTGCACAGTGTGAAAATAGGACGTTACTCTGTAAACTTGTTGGGATTCGAAGACGGCGATTTGGTGACCAACTCCGAAGGAGTGACGGAATGTCAAAAGAGTTGTTCGAATGGCACGTGCGCTTGTACAGGTAAAAAGAGTGTTTCCGTGGAAAGTATATCAAAAAAAATGTTTAAAGGATGCGCACTAAATCCTTTACCGATAATATACTATTTCGTTTGAGTTATTGTTATCACTATTGTTACGACAATTTTTAGGCAATTCATGCTACGACGACATGGCCTGTTCGTCGGAGCCCTGCAGCTTCGGATCTACTTGCGAGTCCTTGCCAGGCGGCCGATACGCCTGTTTTTGTCTGCCTGGACTGACGGGCGCCAACTGTGATAAATGTAAACTTTTAAACATTTTTTTTAGTAAAATATATTTCATCGCTAAACGCTTGTGTTGAAAATCGCTATTTTTATCTTGACATATTTTGATGCCAACGATCGTTTGATTTCGCAGTCGAGTACGGTCTGACCAAATACTTTTCGCCAGAGTTCAACGGCAAGAACTCGTTTCTCAGCATACCGCTGACCGAAGACCTTCGCAGGACCACTCGCCTAGAACTGTGGTTCGGAACGACCTCCGACATGGGCTTGTTGCTGTACAGCGGTCAATCGTACACGGGACAAGGAGACTTCATTTCTGTTTACTTGTCGGGCGGCCGAGTGAGACTCACCTACGATTTGGGCAACGGCAAGACGAACATCACGTAAGTCACATCGTACCGTTTCGTATGTGACGCTAAAAAATATGCATATATCTTTGGTGTACGGTATAAATGTCCCAAGTAAAAAATTAACATTTTTGGCTAAAAGTACGATTATAATCAAACATTTTTATATTTTTTTAATACAGTAAGTCAAAACTATAACTCATCAGTGATATAATTTGTTTTGATCTAAAAATAAGTCACATCACGTTGGGTACCAAACACATATGTCTTGTTAATATCTGAAAATCTGACATAAATAATTTTAAAATGGTCTTAATATCTTGAGTCAAATTTAGTAATAATTTTAAATGTATGCCCTGTTAGCGTAAGTCAAGATAGTTGGATTTTTATTGTTTTATTTTATTTATTTTTATTTTTTTATAGTCACTTAAAAACTACGAAGAATTGATTTTAAATTTCTACATACAATTTAAGATAAAATTAGATACATAAATATTAAATTAAACTAATTATCAGCTAAGACATTATTATTATCAACGGTTTTAAATGATTTTTCAAAGTTTTGTTTTCTCTTCCTGAAAACTAGGCGTTTTTGACTTACGACATGTATATCATACACCAAAGATAATAAAGTGTACAAAAAATGGGTAGAGTGCTTAATGCGCTTTTAAAGATTTTTCCGCATAAAAATTTAAAGTTTAAGGATATAATATGATTTGAGGAAGGGTGGAGGGTGATAATATTATTGCATCCACTGAACGAATTTTCTATGGGCTTCACTGGTACAATATAATATTACATAATAATATCGTCTACGAATGTTGTACAACGGACGACGTCTGATTCTAGTACCGACGAGAAGATTGTTTTTCTGCCTCAATGGAATTTGCTGAAAATCAAAAGATTCGACAACCAAGCTTCCATTCAGCTGAACAACGGCAACGTTACCACAATCAGCTCAAGTTCCCCACTTGTCGAATTGAACTTGGAACTGCCGTTGTACATTGGCGGTGTACCGTAAGTCTGACGATCTCTAACTTAGTTTTTAACAATGCCTACTCCCTACACATGATCAAACATAAAATATTGCAGACGCGGATCCTAAAGATTTTAACGGGGGGTGCTCAAAAAATCGTTACACCTTTCAATGTTATATTAGGTAATTTTGAATATAAATTTATTTTAATCATGGCTTAGATGACAGAGGGTGACCATCAAAATCAATTGGGGGCACCCTGGCACCAATTACCGGTGGAAGACATAACCACCAAAAATTAAATAAGAAAATAAAGTTGTACCATACGAAAGCGCCAAAATCCTAGATACCTGTGTGCCACGGTTAACAGAACTGATATTAAATTTATAACTATATATTATATTTTTAACAATTATTTATAAGATCGAAAAAATCAACCAATTTATTAAAAATATAATTTATTAATTTCTATTTTATTTATTAATAATTTTTTATAAGATCGACATTTTTAAATAACTACTTACATAAAATATTAATTTTTGCGCAAATGATATGTCATTTTTGCACCTCTGGCGCTCCTGTCAAATGTTGGGTATGACATATTATATGTATATAATATTAGATTGGCGCTTACCTATATCCTACAAATTTGTTCGCAAATGATATGTCATTTTTGTACCGTTGGCGCTTATGTCATTTAGCTCCAATGGCCAATAGCCACAACCCCCCCCCCCCCGAATTCGCGCCTGAAATATTGTATATTTTATGGGTCGAGGCGCAGTTTCGATACGTGGTATAAACGGTAAGCAACCACGTGTATTTTTCAGTGCCACCATTATGTTGGGCCAAGAGTCGATCGCCGACAAACCTTTCAACGGCATCGTCCAGAGGGTAATACTCAACGAAAAAACGTGTAACCTGTCGTCGGGTCTCAGCCAGGAGGTGACTCCCTATCGAGGAGCTCCTTGTGGTTACGCTCCTTGTCTGAATGGCGGCACGTGTTTTCCGGTCCTCTCTAGATTTTTGTGCCATTGTGGCCCACAGCACTTCGGTCCGTTGTGCGAACACAGTGAGTTATTGTTTCGATTCTCCGCCAATTATTATGGGCCAAATGTAAACTCTCCTACACGGATAACCTTTTTACCTGAAAATCAAAGATAGTGTAATCTCCTTCGTGGACATTTTTGCCAGAAAAAAATAGTGTAATATCCTACACTCCAACATTTTATTTGAAATTTTAAATACACGGTTTTAGAATTGAAAAGCTCAAAAAGCTAAAAATGATAAGTTGAAAATAATAATCTATATTATACATATATATATATATTTATAGATAAAAAACACTTGGTTAATGATTTATTCTAATTTGATTATTATTTAAATTTTTACTAATATAGGTAGCTGAATTGATTTTTGTATAATATGTATTAATGTATTGCAAGACAGATATTTTATTTTTAATGTCAAAAATACGAAGACATATTTTTTTCTACTGATTTCTTTTTTAACATACTTTTGATTTTTACTGTACATAAGTCAATTTGGTTTTTTAATATTTAATAATGTATGGTAATTAATTAATAAAACGAATTAAACTGGAGGAAATTATTAAATTTATATAAGTATGCTAGAAGGAAACAACTGCGGTACAAGTGGTATTCACTTATTCGCTTTTTAAAAATTAAATGTGACTTTTTTTTAAAAAAAACTTACCACCTATTATTTTACCATAGTTTGTAGGAGTTAACACTATCTTTTGTAGGAGTCTACACTATCTTTTGTAGGAGTTAACCAGTCCCTAAAATATCCAAATTTTCAGACAACACACATAGTCCCAAATCTGTCAAATCCAAATTATTTCTAGATAAACACTTACAACACTAGTATACTACATAATATATACCACCGTTCACTACTAAGCTGATAATAATAAAAATAGCTACTCTCAATAACAATGAATAGTTTATAATAATAACTATAATAAGGGTATAAGAAGTAACAACACAAAATATTGTTTATTGTGTGTCTGCGTAGAATGTAGATATTAATTAAAATGTGATTTGGCAAAGAAACATTAAAATATTTTAAAAAAAAAGTGAAGATATAAAATGATACATAATATTATTATTCTTATAAAGATTTAATTAGAATAACACACTTTTAAAACACTTACTACACACTGCAATTGTCGTAGTACACACAATTTTAGGGACTGGATTTAACACTATGTCGATGTAGGAGTTTACCATTACCCTTATCATGTGCCTGTATAACAATTATTATTTACAATTCCCTAGCGCATAAATCATAATCGCCATCCGGAAAGGAGCTACCCGATACCGAAGCCACCCGCTGAGCTCAATAATCGATTACTGGTAAATAAATATTGTACATAAAGAGAAAAGACTATTTTCGTTGGAGGCCATCGGAGCTCAAAGTTCCTCTTCGATTCAAGTTTGTATTTTCTTTAGGATTTATTTTAGAACCGTCGTTAATTTCTAAGCAATTAAGTTCCTAGAAATGTTTTCTTTTATACTCGACCCCAAGTTTGTTAACATAAATTATTATAGATATAATGACGACGACGTGTACATTTATCAAACAATTTATTTTAGCATTAAGACAATTTTATGTACGCGTTTATACTTGTAAAACAATATTAATTATATATAAATACTTTTACAATGTGTATAAAATCATGACCTATTGTTATATCCGTGGCTTATGAATAATCAACATAAATTTGTGTTAATAATAATGGATGTTATAAGTAAAAAAAAAATAAGTACCTACTATTGTTATTATTATTATTAGAACTATTATTATTGATTATTATAATATTAACATAATGTTGTCACGAAAAAATAAAATAAGAACAGTAAACGTGTATACGAAAAGTACTATGATGATTGTATTTACTTAAAATCATTGAATAGACAATAATATAGTACTACATTGATTTTTGATTTTATGTGAGACTATACACTCACACTTTACCCAAAAACCATTCGCCATATTCTAGATTGACGTTTTTGAACTTTCTTCAAGATTTTTATAATGGCGGTCATCCGTTCAGACCTTCAAACCATGTGAGTGAACGATCGTCTATCGTAAAATAAAAGCGACCGTTTCACAATAAATTTAAATCAAATTTCTTTACGTACTCGTATCCGACTTACAACTAATGAGTAATTATGGTTATGACGTACCTTAAATAGTTCGATGTAATATTGTATTATTATGGTTTATATTTTCCAATGATTTGCCTTAAGTCGCACGTGGCCAGTGTTCGGACTTATCTGGATAATTATTTTTTCGTCTTTTATCTTATCTAGATAAATAGTTACTAGGTATCTAAACGTTCATCTTACATAATTGTTTTACTAATCTAAATAAATTCATTTAGATACCTTTTTATTGATAAAAATCGCGAAATTGTACAAACGCATTTTTAAATATTTATACAGATTCTCAAATAAAGTTTATGGTTTATAAATAATGTAATTATTTTTATTTACCTATATCATTATTATTATTATATTCCTAGTGCTGAACCAAAATATACCTAAATTTAAAACCATTTAAAAAATAATTGTATCTTTTTTTTTATCTAGATAAAAAAAAATACTTATCTAATCCGAACACTGCACGTGGCCCAGAACCACACTAGGTATAATAATATTATGACGTTTGCATCAAACTTGACCAGTGTATAGCTTACAAATTTGAAAAATCACGTCTTTAATTGTCCGAGGACTGGAAACTTTTGAATTTATTGGTATTGGTTCCGGTACTGGTTCTCCGAAAATAAAATAACTGTTCCGGTTCGGTTCTGAAAAAAATAAATGTATGGAAATAATTTCGGTACCGGTTCCACATAATTTGGGTACCGAAAAGTATAATAATGATATAAAATATATTAATGGGCGTATGTAATTTGCGCCAAAAACAACCAAAAAAAAAAAAGGTGGGTAAGTGGATGTCGCTCTGCTGTACAGTAGGTTACAAGTGGGTCACTGTATAATGGATGCTATTAAATTTGAATTCAATGATTCAATATCATTGTATAAGAAAAACGATTCTGAGCAAAGACGGTATGTCAGTCTAGGTTTAAAACAAATTATATACATATCTATGGTATTAAAAAAAAATTCACCTTTAATAAATTCCAAATTAATCATATCACATTATCACAATATCCATTAGGTACTTATAACACGTTATACATCAACATCAATAACAAACCCTGATACTATCATAGATATATAATAGTACACTTTAGAAGTTTCAAGTAGGTACCAACGAATAAATATTATATAATCACAACAAAATAACTAGGTTTTTAACATGTAATTTCGTCCAAATTTGAACATAAAATAACTATAAAAATAAACTGTGATTGTATATATTTTAGATTTTTCGGTAAGAGTATTAGCTACTTACGTGAATCTTGTTTTAAATTTTCAATCCTTAGCTATAAAAACTGAACATTTTATAATTTATTGATTACAATGATTGATAATTTTCGAGATTTTGATAAATTTTGTCAAAATTCGATGTTTAAATGCTTATAAAAAAAATTGTGCCTATGTATTTTTAATAATTTTCAATTGCTATTGTAACAATATATCAGGAGCCTTGTATTACATTTTTACACTTTTTGGCCCAACAGATAAAACTTTATTGATATTTATAGAAAAAAAAAACTAAAAAAATTTAAAACTGAAAATGTCCGTAAACAGCTCAAAAAGAGTCGAAATATTTTCAAAATTGTACAGTGTATAGGAAATGCTAATCTGGATATTCAGTGAAATTTTCATGTATCTACAGTTATTCGTTTTTGAATTACAACAAAATAAGGAAATCGCTACATGAGAAATCAAGTGAATATCCAATGTTGTAAAAATTTGAATTTCAAACGCTCATAAAAATTTAATTTGACTGTCCGGTAGAGATTTTTTTATTGATAAAGGTAGACAAACTTATGAGTAATCTTGTATTACATTTTCAAATCTTAGATTTAAAAAGAAAAATTTTTACGAATTCTTAACTCAAAATAATTTGCTAATTTTCGTGATTTGTCAATTTTTGAACTTTAAATGCTTATAAAAAAAACTGTGACTAACGATTTTTAATATTTTTCATCTGCCTTTGAGACAATATAGTAGGAACCTTGTATTAAATTTTCAAGTATTTCTACTCAACAAATAAAATTTTATTGATATTTCTAGAAAAAAAACTAAAAAAAAATGAAAAATGAAAATGTCCCTAAACTGTTCAAAATAAATCAAAATATTTTGAAAATGTTATCGTGTATAGAAGATGCAAATATAAACAACCAGTGAAAATTTCATGTATCTACGGTCATTTGTTTTAAAGTTACACCAAAAACTAAATTCGATTTTGTCAAAAACCTATTTTGCGTAAAAATTCCCGTTTTTCCTTCATTTTTATGTTGTTTTTCCCGGCGCTTGTGAAAACTATTGGGAATTTTAAATTTTGACCTCCCCAATGCACCAACGATATTCACTCTCCAATCGAACAAGATACTGAAGTCGAAAATCGAAACATTATTTCGACTACTTATCGTGTACACAGACACAAAAAAAAAAACACACATCATTGTAAAATCAATACATTCATCGTTTCACTCAGAATCTAAAAAAAATATGTAATTTGCGCCACATCTAAAATTGTATTTTGGTAATTTGCTCCACTTTTTAAGTTTGTAATTTGCGCCAAATAAAACTAAATAAAAAGGCAATATGTAATCTGCGCCATCGTTTACCTACAAAAATTGTAATTTGAGCCATAGTTCACCTTATTGAAATTGTAATTATCGCCACAAGTAAGACGAATTTTCGTTTAGTAATAAAACATATAAAAATCAGTCATATTATAATTATAAATAAATGTATACAAGTAAAACGGACTCCATGTATATTAAATAAGTAAATTTTCGTTTAGTAATAAAACATATAAAAATCAGTCATATTATAATTATAAATAAATGTATACAAGTATACATTGATAATTTTCATTAGATTAGACGTAATCGGAGGTCGATTACGTCTAATAGAGACGATATGTCTATTATCAGTAGAACACAACAATATGATATTGGACACACGTTGGTACTTATTATTGTATATCCTATGCGATATCAGTAAATTTATCTGCTGGTAAATTCCAACAAATAACAATATTGAAGTTGAAAGTGTGGCGCAAATTACATATTCCATTTCGTTTTCTGTCGTGGAGCAAATTACCAAAATTAATTTGTATATGTAGCGGAAAATATATATTATATTTTTATATTTTGGCGCAAATTACATATGCCCTTAAATGTACCTTTTGATGGCGCAAATTACAGGTAATTAAATTGACGCAAAATACCATCTCCCATATTAATAATATAAAATATAAATACCCATCTAGTATCTGGAATGCAGGTTTAATTAATAGTATGAGAAATATTAAAAAACTCATATTTTGATCATACATAGTTTATACATAAAACAGTAATACCATTAATTAAAAACCTAATAGACAAAATTATTTCCATTTCAAACCTATAAAAGAACATTTTTTAATTCAAAAATTCCGGTTCGGTCCATGGTACTTTATTTATTAAAATAAATAGGTTTCTGTTCCGGTTCAGGTGCTTAATATCTTGGAGGTTCCGGTTCCAGAACCGGTTGTTTTAGGTTTGGTTCCATAGTCCCCGCAGTTTAAGCATTCGAATGCAGTATAGGTAGGTACATATTGGATTTTACTAGATTTTGGTGTATAATATCACTGTTGCAGCCTGCAGACACGACGTAGGCCGTAGGGATTAACAATTTAAAGGTAAAATTATATTTTAATAAAGCAATCTCCTGCGGCCGTGGTAATAATGGAAACCTAAAACTAATAAAGAAAACCGTTCATAATTACCGCGGAAACATTCGTGTGGCTGTGTTTATTATTTATTTACATTATTATACATAATATAATACCTATATATACTCACTTTGATAATATAAACAACTAATAAGGGCTTTTCTAAGACTATGCTCACACAATCTCTTACCGAGTACATTATAATATTATAGGTTTTTATATTGTTCCCGAGGGTTCTTCTGAAATTTGATTTATTGCCACTGTTAAGTCTAAATGTGGGCATACCCGTTTTCGACCAAAAACTTACCCTTCCCTTTTCGGCAGATTCACTTTTCAACCAAAACAAAAAGTTATATAATATATGTAAAAAAAATAAAATAGTTGGTACCTATACAATTTTTTTTGTAAAATTATGGCAATTATAATTTT